ACCCATCTGGCTGGGTTTCCTCAGCCACTTTGAGTGCCTCCCAACAGAATATTATTATTAATAATAATAAAAGCGATAAAACATCAAACATTAAAAACTTCCCTAAACAGGGCTGCCTTCAGATGTCTTCTAAAAGTCAGATAGTTGTTTATTTCCTTGACAGCTGATGGAAGGGTGTTCCACAGGGCAGGCACCACCACCGAGAAGGCCCTCTGCCTGGTTCCCTGTAACCTCACTTCTCACAGTGAGGGAACCGCCAGAAGGCCCTTGGAGCTGGACCTCAGTGAATGATGGGGATGGAGATGCTCCTTCAGGTATGCTGGGCCGAGGCCATTTAGGGCTTTAAAGGTCAGCACCAACATTTTGAATTGAGCTCAGAATCAAGTAAATTGGTTTATAAAAAATAGGCATTGGGGGGGGGGGTATCTGGACTGTGATCATAGTAGGAGAGGCAGGGGGCTTTTTATCTCTCCCTCCTCCAGTCTGGTCCTGGTCCAAATCTCGCTCACACGCATAACAGGTCAGTGTTAGAAAAAAGCAAATGTTCTGACCTCCTTTCTCTGGTCCTCGGACCCTAGTCAGCACAAAGAGTCCTTGAAAAAGAGTACTTTGCAGAATTCTGCTTTTATTCTTAAAAGTCTTTTATCTGAAAAACGACCAACCAACTGTACACACATCAACGCCACCAGCTTTCTCTAACCAACCAACCAACCCACACCCAACACTAACATTGACCACTCTATATATACAGGTACAATTATGTCAAAGAGATAAGAGATAAGAGATAAATTTATTGTCATTGTCCGTATATACACAGTATACACAACAACGAAAATCAAACACCCACCCAAAGACCGGGTTCACATATACATTTGCACGTATCTCCGACACTCTCATCCTATTCATAACATAATCTATAAAACATAATCTATAAAAGCATAACATAATCCAGAATATAACATGACCTATTAAAGGCATAACATAACCTAAAACCTATCTCATTCCTTCCTACTCCCTGCTTGCTATACCTTGCAACTGGCCCTGAGATCATTATTTAGTGCAATCAGAGCTCTTGGATAGAAACTATTCAGAAGGCGTGTGGTTCGTGTTTTCATTGTCCTATATCTTCTACCTCCCATGCAAAGGTTGCATGAGTCATTGTAGGTCGCTTACTTAGTTCTTTTCGCATTAAAGAAACAGAGGCCAATTTTTAGCCGTGACATAACACACCTGATATTTGAGTCAAAGGGGGCAGGACCTCCCATTCGTGCCAATCATATTTAATTTTGTTTCCATAGAAGCTTCCCACAAACTGTCCAAATTCTACCACTACATTATCTGTAAGGTGTATAAAAGTTCTTATCGTCCCCCCCTTAAGAAATAGGCATCTCTTTAACATTTCCTTTTTTCAACCTCTTCCTTTTCCTCCCAGTAGATTCTTAGACGCCGCCATGCTGGTCTCTCACTGCCTGCTGGTTCATCTGGCCATCCTTCTCAGCGTCCTCCTGGTGCAGTCCTGCGAAGGGCAGTCTTGGGCTGCTTTTCAAAACAAGCACATCAATTACCCCAAAACCTCAGCCCCCAACCTCAATGCTTACTGCAACCTCATGATGGTGCAGAGGAAGCTGAACCCAGCGGTGTGCAAATTCACCAATACCTTCATCAACAACCCCACGGATTCTGTCCAAGATGTCTGTGGCAATGGCGGGAAGCAGTTCAAGGATAAATTATATGACAGCAACAATCCGTTCTCCATGACCATCTGCAGGTTCATCAATGGTAAACCTCCTAATGACTGCAAATACAAAGGCACAGTTACCTCCAGACGCATTCGTGTCACCTGCGAAAACAAGAAGCCCGTTCATCTGGCAAAGCTGCTGTGATAGGCAGAAAACCACGCAAGCCACGCTCTGCCCATTGAAGGCAGAATGCTCATTTGGCCATTTCTACCTGCAACACATCCACGTTATTGGCTTTTCCTAGTTTAACAGTCATTTGCCCTTTCCAGGGGACCTTGGGAGCTGTGGCTCTAAGAGCAATGACGCCAAGCTTCTAACTAAGTATTCGGTTGGTTTCTCTTAATGATTATTCTCTCAATAAAGCTCATTCTATCAGAAGCAAAAAAGTGTGGCTCTGTACCTACATTATGTCTATGAACAGTTTACAACAGGGGTCAGCAAACTTTTTCAGCAGGGGGCTGGTGCACTGTGTCTCAGACTTTGTGGGGGGCTGGACTATATTTTGAAGGGGGGAAATGAAAGAATTCCTGTGCCCCACAAATAATCCAGAGATGCATTTGAAATAAAAGCACACATTCTACTCATGGAAAAACACCAGGCAGGCCCCCAAATAACCCAGAGATTTTAAATAAATGGACACATTCTACTCATGTAAAAACACACTGATTTTCAGACTGTCCGCAGGCTGGACTTAGAAGGCGATTGGGCCAGATCCAGCCCCCAGGCCTTAGTTTGCCTACCCATAATAATAATAATAATAATAATATAATAATAATAATAATAATAATAATAATAATAATAATAATAATAATAATAATAATAATTTATTATTTATACCCCACCCATCTGGCTGAGTTTCCCCAGCCACTCTGGGTGGCTCCCAATCAATTATTAAAAACAATACAGCGTTAAATGTTAAAAGCTTCCCTGAACAGGGCTGCCTTCAAATGTCTTTTAAAAATAGGATAGCCACTTATTTCCTTCACATCTGAAGGGACGGTGTTCCACAGGGTGGGCGCCACTACTGAGAAGGCCCTCTGTCTGGTTCCCTGTAACCTTACTTCTCGCAGTGAGGGAACCGCCAGAAGGCCCTCGGCGCTGGATCTCAGTGTCCTGGCTGAACGATGGGGGTGGAGACACTCCTTCAGGTATACAGGACCAAGACCATTTAGGGCTTTAAAGGTCAGCACCAACACTTTGAATTGTGCTCGGAAATGTACTGGGAGCCAATGCAGATCTCTCAGAACTGGTGTTATGTGGTCCCGGCGGCCACTCCCAGTCACCAGTCTAGCTGCCGCATTCTGGATTAATTGCAGTTTCCGGGTCACCTTCAAAGGTAGCCCCACGTAGAGTGTGTTGCAGTAGTCCAAACGGGAGATAACTAGAGCATACACCACTCTGGTGAGACAGTCCATGGGCAGGTAGGGTCTTAGCCTGCGTACCAGGTGGAGCTGGTAGAAAGCTGCCCTGGACACAGAATTAACCTGCGCCTCCATGGACAGCTGTGAGTCCAGAATGACTCCCAGGCTGCGCACCTGGTCCTTCAGGGGCACAGTTACCCCATTCAGGACCAGGGAATCCCCCACACCTACCCACCCCCTGTCCCCCGAAAACAGTACTTCTGTCTTGTCAGGATTTAACCTGAATCTGTTAGCCGCCATCCATCCTCCAACCGCCTTCAGGCACTCACACAGGACCTTCACAGCCTTCACTGGTTCTGATGGTTTACAAGCTATTTATGAGTAAAACCAGGAAATCAGAAGAGCTTGTTCTGTTCAAAGAGAATTAGGCGAATCTTTAACGGATTTCTTCATAGCAAAATATTTTTCACATTTTTCATATACAAAATGACAGATGTAATAGATGTGGCCTGTGACTAGATTTCCTTTCTTCCTTTTGCAAAATGAAGCAGTTTGGGCAGCGCGGGGGCGGGAGTGTTTCCTCAGGAGACTATATTGTGTTCCTGTTGGGATTAAAGCAACAAGGCTTGCAATCTCCTCCATGAACCAATTTGAGGGGTATGTTTTATACTAAAGTTGTGTCATCTGTACTAATGCCATGCTCTACAAATATAAACCATCTATAAAGTCCAGACTAGCACCCATCATTCCCCCAGTGCAGGTGCTATGCGCTAAAGGAATGACGGAGACCAAAGATCAACACCAGAATAATCATGGCAATACAAAGAAACAATGTCAGTTCTGTTTCTGGTACCAGATTTGAGTGTAGTTTTTTTTTGTAACATATTTTGAGAGTGGCTTGGGACTTTGAAGTGGGGTGTGAGTGTTCTAAAGGAGTCATTAATTCTAAAGCACTACCTTTGAAGTGGGACGAGAGTTCTTTGGTGGTTTTATTCACAGTGATCCCATTCAGACACACAAGACATCACATAGAATCAAAGAATTGTAGAGTTGGGAAGAATCCCTGTGGTCATCTAGTCCAACCCCCTGCAATGCAGGAATCTCAACTAAAGCATCCATAGTGTTCAAATCATCCACGTGTGTGAACCGGTCTTGACAAGTCTTAGTTAAACTTTGACCAGTATTATTCAGGCTGGCCCCAAAAATGTTTTTATTTGTGAGTGCTGTCATTGAGGGAGTGTAACTGGTATTTTATTTTATTTTTTTAGCAGAAGGGTTTGCTGACCCTTTAGAAAGCATGTATTGCTGCTAGTGCTATTAATAGCAATGAGCTCAAAGGTACTATCATGTTTCACACACCAAATATACTAAGGCATATTTTAATATTTGAACAGCACACCAATGCAAAGGTGGCAAGCAATGGTGCTTCCCCCCACCCCCCACCCAGGAAGTTGCCTTGGTCCAGCATACCTATATCATTTTCCAGGAAAAGGTGTTTACCATCGGAACAAGAATATCAATACTGATGAAGATGCAACTGAATTAAACTTCACCCAGCTTGCAAGGGTGGTCTCTATTACTGGGGCATCAAGGATTACTATTACAGTGGTACCTTGGGTTAAGAACTTAATTCGTTCTGGAGGTCTGTTCTTAATCTGAAACCGTTCTTAACCTGAGGTACCACTTTAGCTAATGGGGCCTCCCACTGCCGCCGCCCGATTTCTGTTCTCATCCTGAAGCAAAGTTCTTAACCCGAGGTACTATTTCTGGGTTAGCGGAGTCTGTAACCTGAAGCGTCTGTAACCTGAAGCATCTGTAACCTGAGGTACCACTGTATTTTGTAAAACCCATTAATGACTGGAGCATCCAGTACTATAGATGCACCGACTTCTGCCAAAATATGGATGCTGTTACATACTCCTTCCATAGAGATGTTGTGAACATGCTCCCTGGAGGAATGGCTATTAGCCGAGGCCCATCTTATGGTAAGTGGGAAACTATCAAGACCATCTCCAATGACTCACAACACTCCCATTGTATGGAATAAGAAGATCACCAAGAAAGTGGGATGCAACAAGCAGAAGATGACCAGTGTGGAGCACAACTGGAAGATTTCCCTGACTGCCTCATATGAGTCAGGCTTGCTCACTAAGGCCATTGCCAAGTAGCAGTTCTCTCTCACTGCTGAGTATGGTGGGAAGAGGGTCAACACAGAGCAGGAAAACTGGAATGAAGCCACTGAGATTGAAGAGTCTCTTTATGTGACCCTGCAGCTCAATGAGAAGATGTACATATGGCAATACCAGCTGGGCTTGGGCAAGGAAATGGTCTTGTTCTGCCATGATATGAAATTTACAGGTGATTCTACTCCACCTACAGATATTCCTTTGCCACCTTCTAATAAATGAAATACAGTGGTACCTCGGGTTAAGTACTTAATTCATTCCGGAGGTCTGTTCTTAACCTGAAACTGTTCTTAACCTGAAGCACCACTTTAGCTAATGGGGCCTCCTGCTGCTGCTGCGCCGGCAGAGCCAGATTTCTGCTCTCATCCTGAAGCAAAGTTCTTAACCCGAGGTAATATTTCTGGGTTAGTGGAGTCTGTAACCTGAAGCGTATGTAGCCTGAGGTACCACTGTATGGTAGGTCAACAGGAATGCTCAAAGGCTTCCTCCCCATTTAGGGATCTTTTATTAAATTTGGGTGATTATTGTGGGCTAAAGTTTAGAAAATATAGAGCTCTCACAGCACTAGAAAATGATAGATATTCTAAGTTCCGCTGATGCTATATTTTGTTCCTGGAAGACTGCACGCTGAGAAGGGGAGTGGGAGGGTTTTCTTGTGGTTGTGTCTCTGCTTATCAATATATATTTTTTTTAGTTCCAATGTAGGAGGAGCGGTACGTAGTTTCTCATTAACCCATAGCCTCTTCTATCCTATTTAAGCAGCAAGTGTTCACACATTTCCCTCATTCTCCACCAAGAGAAGCAGCTGCCACCTACTACAAAACTTTCTGTCTGGATACCACGAATACTGGTAAGTCTTGGAGATTTACTGGGCAGGAGTGGAGAGAGATAACTTTAGAATTTGGGGCACAAGGGAGGGAATGCTTTTTGTGGACCTGCAGTCTAACTACCTCTTTATAATTATAAAGGTTATAATTATAAACTCTAAGGTTTTTATTTCAGCAATAACAGTACAAGTTAAATGAAGTTCCTTTTAATAATCCAATAACCGCTCTACTAAAACAGACCATGTATTCCAGCAACAGACCTTGAATCTAAAAATGACATCAATCCATATTCAAGCAGAATCTCTCTCTGCACAGCTGAAGCAAAATCCCAGGGAGTTCCAGGGGCTGCTTCTTTGTGGACCTGTAGTCTAACTACTTGTTTATAATTATTGAGTGCCAATGAAATTCCCTGTGTGATATTGAAGTGACATGGAACCTTCCACAGGGGCACAGGAAGGGGGGCAGGCCCCCCGGGTGCCATCTCTGAGGAGGTGTGACAAGAAGGCACACCTCAGGGGTCTCGCCTGCCACCCCCAGACACGCACCGCCATCCTGCTGCCGCAGACGCATGTGGAGGATCCTGTGCTCCCAGCTGCACTCTCCTCCGCTCGAGCGGTGCCATCGGCAAACCAACCAGTGGCGCATGCACAGCACCGCTCAAGTGCCATACAGTATACCCTAACCCTCCACCACTGCTGCAGCCACGAGCGAAGGATCCCACTGACTCCGCTGCAGCTGCGAGCAGAGGATCCCGCTGCCATACATACGGTGTGCACACATGCATGGTACATAGCAGCGCACACATGGTACGTAGCGGCACCTGCGCATGCGCCGATGAGTGGTTTGCCCCACCCCCCTACCCTGGGTGCCTGTTCTTCTTCCTTCGCCACTGGCATCCCTAAGGCTTTAGGGATTGGTATCTCTGGTCCCTCCAGCAACCAGAACTCCCTTCATTTACTCAGTCTCCTCTAAACGTCATGAAACACCTTGCAGGATGAGATCATGATGTGATCCAGAGGAAGAATCCCCATTCCTACCAGATTCTGAACTCCTATGCAACATCTTGGGTTTGGAAGGGGCCCATGGGTATCTTTGAGAACGCAGATGGGACTGGAAGGGGCCTCTGGGTAGGGCAAGGATTCAGCAACAGAGAAGCTGGAGCTCCCTGGAACATTTCTTTTGTAAATAGCTTATCAAGTTTATCTTATATTAGGAACATCCATCCCGACCTCCAGAAATCTTTCAGAATACAATCCTATACAAACTGAGTGTTTCTGAATAGCAAGGAGTAGGGCTGCATATAATCACCAGGAGAGAATGGCTATCTCAATGCTTTGTGATAATTTATTTCATAAAGTGGTTTTGCATTGTGTGGAAATGTATCTTCTTTTGCCTATCACTGACTCTGCTGTCAGGTTATTTTAATAGGACCTCTTGAGCTCTAGAGTTATGGCACCAGAAGAGGGAGTGAGGAATAGCCACTTCTTTAGTGTCACGCATAATCTTATAAACTTCTATTATGCCCCTATTTTTATATTCCTGAATCAAAAACACCCAAAAGGTGGAGTTTAGTGGCTGATCAGACTACCAGCCCTCCTTGTGCAGAGTGAGGAAGAGACCCAAGAACACAGGATGTATACCTCACTCCAAGGTTTTTATTTAAGCAATAACAGTACAAGTTAAATGAAGTTCCCTTTAATAATACAACAACCATTCTACTAAAACAAACCACGTATTCCAGCAGCTGAGTTTGAATTTAAAAATGACATCCATGCATATTCAAGAACACTTTCCTCTGCCGAGCTGTAGCAAGATCCCAAGGTGTTCCAGGGACTCACCCAGTGCTCCTTTGGAGAATTGAGGACATGGTAGAGACTGCCGTAGCTTTAAGAAATATGATTTATACACATATTTAAAGCTTCAGTCTGCATGGAGGGGGTGCAGATCTTACAGCATGGCTATCCCAAGCAGGGAGGCTCATCTAGTCTTAACAATCTGCACCTCCTGGACACGTTGGTGTTAGAAGGAACAAATCAGACGCCACAAGAAAATATGAGGGGGAATAAAGAATTGGGGAATCTCTTCTCTTCCCCCACAGCCCCCATGGATGTGTCCTTCCATCCTCTCCTAGCTCTGAAGCTCAGCACTCTGGCACTATAGTACTATTGCTGTAGAGCATTAACTACCGAGGTTGAGGGTAGGCAAGTAAGTTTATCTGCCCCTTCCAGTGCTGTATGGGTGAAAGGGTGGTGTCAGTTTATGCACACAATGAGATAAGCAGCTTCAGATCTGAATTTTGCTGCACTTTCCAAGATATTCTGAGCTGTTAGGCAGTCTCCTCCCATCACAGCTGAGATAGGAAATTAATTAGAACAGCAGTTACCGGCATGGCACTCATGAGTGCCTGGGTGCCCTCGTATGGTGCCCACAAAAGGCCTCAGTAAATATCCCCTCAAAATCCACTGGCTCTGTACAAAGTGTGTAACAAATGTTGGAAATGTAAAGAAAAAGAGGGAACATTTTATCATATGTGGTGGGAGTGTAAAAAGGTGAAATGCTTCTGGGAAATCATATATAATGAACTGAAAAAAATGTTGAAATATACATTTGTAAAGAAACCAGAGGCATTGTACATATGGCAATACCAGCTGTGTTTGGGCAAGGAAACGGTCTTGTTCTGCCGTGATATGAAATTTACAGGTGATTCTACTCCACCTACAGATATTCCTTTGCCACCTTCTAATAAATGAAATACAGTGGTATCTCGGGTTAAGTACTCAATTCATTCCTGAGGTCTGTTCTTAACCTGAAACTGTTCTTAACCTGAAGCACCGCTTCAGCTAATGGGGCCTCCTGCTGCTGCTGCGCCGGCAGAGCCAGATTTCTGCTCTCATCCTGAAGCAAAGTTCTTAACCCGAGGTAATATTTCTGGGTTAGTGGAGTCTGTAACCTGAAGCGTCTGTAACCTGAGGTACCACTGTATGGTAAGTCAACAGGAACGCTCAAAGGCTTCCTCACCATTTAGGGATCTTTTATTAAATTTGGGTGATTATTGTTGGCTAAAGTTTAAAGTTTAAAGCTCTCACAGCACTAGAAAATGATAGATATTCTAAGTTCCGCTGATGCTATATTTTGTTCCTGGAAGGCTCTGCACGCTGAGAAGGGGAGTGGGAGGGTTTTCTTGTGGTTGTGTCTCTGCTTATCAATAATTTTTTTTTTAGTTCCAATGTAGGAGGAGCGGTACGTAGTTTCTCATTAACCCATAGCCTCTTCTATCCTATTTAAGCAGCAAGTGTTCACACATTTCCCTCATTCTCCACCAAGAGAAGCAGCTGCCACCTACTACAAAACTTTCTGTCTGGATACCACGAATACTGGTAAGTCTTGGAGATTTACTGGGCAGGAGTGGAGAGAGATAACTTTAGAATTTGGGGCACAAGGGAGGGAATGCTTTTTGTGGACCTGCAGTCTAACTACCTCTTTATAATTATAAAGGTTATAATTATAAACTCTAAGGTTTTTATTTCAGCAATAACAGTACAAGTTAAATGAAGTTCCTTTTAATAATCCAATAACCGCTCTACTAAAACAGACCATGTATTCCAGCAACAGACCTTGAATCTAAAAATGACATTAATGCATACTCAAGCAGAATCTCTCTCTGCACAGCTGAAGCAAAATCCCAGGGAGTTCCAGGGGCTGCTTCTTTGTGGACCTGTAGTCTAACTACTTGTTTATAATTATTGAGTGCCAATGAAATTCCCTGTGTGATATTGAAGTGACATGGAGCCTTCCACAGGGGCACAGGAAGGGGGGCAGGCCCCCCGGGTGCCATCTCTGAGGAGGTGTGACAAGAAGGCACACCTCAGGGGTCTCGCCTGCCACCCCCAGACACGCACCGCCATCCTGCTGCCGCAGACGCATGTGGAGGATCCTGTGCTCCCAGCTGCACTCTCCTCCGCTCGAGCGGTGCCATCGGCAAACCAACCAGTGGCGCATGCGCAGCACCGCTCAAGTGCCATACAGTATACCCTAACCCTCCACCACTGCTGCAGCCACGAGCGAAGGATCCCACTGACTCCGCTGCAGCTGCGAGCAGAGGATCCCGCTGCCATACATACGGTGTGCACGCATGCATGGTACATAGCAGCGCACACATGGTACGTAGCGGCACCTGCGCATGCGCCGATGAGTGGTTTGCCCCACCCCCCTACCCTGGGTGCCTGTTCTTCTTCCTTCGCCACTGGCATCCCTAAGGCTTTAGGGATTGGTATCTCTGGTCCCTCCAGCAACCAGAACTCCCTTCATTTACTCAGTCTCCTCTAAACGTCATGAAACACCTTGCAGGATGAGATCATGATGTGATCCAGAGGAAGAATCCCCATTCCTACCAGATTCTGAACTCAGATGCAACATCTTGGGTTTGGAAGGGGCCCATGGGTATCTTTGAGAACGCAGATGGGACTGGAAGGGGCCTCTGGGTAGGGAAAGATTCAGCAACAGAGAAGCTGGAGCTCCCTGGAACATTTCTTTTGTAAATAGCTTATCAAGTTTATCTTATATTAGGAACATCCATCCCGACCTCCAGAACTCTTTCAGAATACAATCCTATACAAACTGAGTGTTTCTGAATAGCAAGGAGTAGGGCTGCATATAATCACCAGGAGACAATGGCTATCTCAATGCTTTGTGATAATTTATTTCATAAAGTGGTTTTGCATTGTGTGGAAATGTATCTTCTTTTGCCTATCACTGACTCTGCTGTCAGGTTATTTTAATAGGACCTCTTGAGCTCTAGAGTTATGGCACCAGAAGAGGGAGTGAGGAATAGCCACTTCTTTAGTGTCACGCATAATCTTATAAACTTCTATTATGCCCCTATTTTTATATTCCTGAATCAAAAACACCCAAAAGGTGGAGTTTAGTGGCTGATCAGACTACCAGCCCTCCTTGTGCAGAGTGAGGAAGAGACCCAAGAACACAGGATGTATACCTCACTCCAAGGTTTTTATTTAAGCAATAACAGTACAAGTTAAATGAAGTTCCCTTTAATAATACAACAACCATTCTACTAAAACAAACCACGTATTCCAGCAGCTGAGTTTGAATTTAAAAATGACATTCATGCATATTCAAGAACACTTTCCTCTGCCGAGCTGTAGCAAGATCCCAAGGTGTTCCAGGGACTCACCCAGTGCTCCTTTGGAGAATTGAGGACATGGTAGAGACTGCCGTAGCTTTAAGAAATATGATTTATACACATATTTAAAGCTTCAGTCTGCATGGAGGGGGTGCAGATCTTACAGCATGGCTATCCCAAGCAGGGAGGCTCATCTAGTCTTAACAATCTGCACCTCCTGGACACGTTGGTGTTAGAAGGAACAAATCAGACGCCACAAGAAAATATGAGGGGGAATAAAGAATTGGGGAATCTCTTCTCTTCCCCCACAGCCCCCATAGATGTGTCCTTCCATCCTCTCCTAGCTCTGAAGCTCAGCACTCTGGCACTATAGTACTATTGCTGTAGAGCATTAACTACCGAGGTTGAGGGTAGGCAAGTAAGTTTATCTGCCCCTTCCAGTGCTGTATGGGTGAAAGGGTGGTGTCAGTTTATGCACACAATGAGATAAGCAGCTTCAGATCTGAATTTTGCTGCACTTTCCAAGATATTCTGAGCTGTTAGGCAGTCTCTTCCCAGCACAGCTGAGATAGGAAATTAATTAGAACAGCAGTTACCAGCCTGGCACTCATGAGTGCCTGGGTGCCCTCGTATGGTGCCCACAAAAGGTCTCGGTAAATATCCCGTCAAAATCAACTGGCTCAGCCTCTCCATTTAATGGGACTTCAGTATTGAAGGCCCACTCTTTAATATATTCTGAACAAGGAAGAGGTGCAAAGAGCTTCTCTTTGTGAGCAAGCACAGCAGTGATGGATATAGGTATTTTAGCCACACTGAGCCTTCAAACTAGCATTCATTTTCTGCAAAATCTGGATCTTTCGTTTCCCAAACGGCCATTCCCTAAAATCACAAGGCAAACTGCTTTTAAAAGTGATCAGCCTGTTAAACGCAATTTATATTCCTTAGAAGGGATGGGTTGGTCTCCTATCAAATGGAGAGAGAAATGATAGAGAAATATGTCTTGACAAGCAGAAGATGTTTGGTTCGTCTTTCAAAGCACCTCCCAATTAATTAGTAATCATTTACCTTTGGCATCATATTTGGCACTGGCAGGTATATTGTGTTAAAGCAATGAGACTGTTTTCCAAGAGGTCAGCAAATTCTGTTAATTCTTTCATTATAAAAAATAATACACATTAATAAATAAAGTAATTACAAAGAGTAAATAAATGATCAATTTGTGAAATCTTCTGATCTAACTGAATACATTGCTTTCTTTTCCTAGAATCAAGCACCATGCCAGAGATAGTCCCTAAGAACAAAGCCCCAGGGGTTGATTTCTGTGGGGTAGATGAATATTACTACATTGTCCGCTCAGACCTGGGCTGCTACATGAGGTCCACCAATTTCCACGAGGGCAAAGACCTCGAAGTGTTTAGCCTGCACAGTTCCTGCCAGGGAGGAGATCACTACTTAGCCCATGAGGATGACCTATTCTACATCATCAAAGGAGACAACTATCGCCGTGTCAGCAACATGAATGCAGACTTAGGTTCTGTAGTATACAGCCTCCATCCCAACTGCCGCGGAGGGGACCATTACCTCTCAGCCTTTGGATCCTTCTATATCATTTTCCAGAAAAGAGGTGTTTACCGTCGGGTCAGTAATATGCATGATGATACAGATGCAATTGAATACACACTTCACCCACTTGCAGATGGTCTCTATTCTGGGGCATCAGAATTACTATTACTTTGTAAACCCCATGATGAATGGGGGGTCATTACTATAGATGCACGATCTCCACGGAAATTTGTGCTGCTTACTACTCTTCCTAGGGATGTTGTGACATCTCCTGAGGATGGCTATGCTAGGCCCAGTTATGGTAGTGGAAGCTATCAAGCATTCAAATGACTCCAACACTCCCATGTATTGAATAAGAAGATCACCAAGAAAGTGGATACAACAAGCAGAATGAGTGTGGGCAAGCTGGAAGGTTTCCAGACTGCCTCAATCAGTCAGGCGCACTCACTGAGCCTTGCCAAGTACCAGTTCTCTCTCACTGCTGAGTATGGTGGGAAGAGTGTCAACACAGAGCAGGAAACTGGAATGAAGCCACTGAGATCGAAGAAGCTATTAATTTGACCCTGCAGCCCAATGAGAAGATGTAACATATGGCAATACCAGCTGGGTTTGGGCAAGGAAACGGTCTTGTTCTGCCGTGAATATGAAATTTTCGAGTGATTCTACTCCACCTACAGATATTCCTTTGCCAACCTTCCAATAAGTTGAAAAGAAAAGTGTTAGGCCAAAAGGCATCTTCCAAGGCTTCCTTTCTTTTATAACATTTAATTGATTGCTATGGGCTAATATTTAGACAATCTAGAGGCTCTTGTAATGGGGAGTTAGCTGAGTAGTATATAGACATGCATAAGCTAAACACGAAGTAGATTAATGATTACTATTATATACTCTCATATTGACATACACATCCTGCTAGGCTACAGTTAGAAAAGCATATCCTAGTTTGTGCATGATGCAGGTGATCCAAGCTTAATTCCTTTTAGATAAGCTACTATTTCCCTGGTGCCTATGAATCCCTTTGCCAAATTTGTGCCTTCATCTTAATTTGTACCTGCTGAACTCTGGAATCTGTCCCACTGTTCTACAAATCAAATAAAATGAATAATTAATGGTTTAAAAATGTGTTCTGTGCGCTTTTTCACACTTGTGTACAAAATGATTTTCAACATATATTTTCCAGAAGACACAAATACCTTCTTCCTTTTTCCAGAGGGTATTGAGGAAGTGGGGAGCTCTGTGTACAATTTCATGCTGGTGTGCCATCAGAAACCTTCACTTTTTACATCATAGTTTTTAGCTATCTCCAATTTGAGGGTTGGCTTAGTTCAGAGAAGGGTCCAGAGGCCTGATCCAGCACCACAAGCACATTTTTATTTCCACTTCCCAACCAAACCCACAATCCCACTAATTTCGGCGGCAGCAAAAACCAATCTAAAGATCAGACACAGTGTTTAGGTGGTCAGAGATATGGTATGCATGTGTCCTGTGTTCACAGGCGTGAGAGTGTGAGGTGACCACAGCCACTTGGTCACTCACCAATGACATGCTGGTCCTGGAGAGCTTCCTAAGGGTGAATGTGCCCTTATAGCTAAAAAGCAATAGCCCTTTTAGCCCCGCCCCCTCCCTGTCCTAGAGTGCTAGGAAGGAACATTCTCTTTACTGCTGGTTGCCAATTGATTACTAGCAGAAGAGGCACAAGAAGGAACATTTCTCTTTACTCTGGTTACCAATTGATTACTAGCCCCAATTCAAATGCTGGTTTCGACTTACGTGGTTCAGACTCTCAGTACCTCAAGGACCTCCCCTTCCCATATCGACCTACCTGAGCTCTGCAGTGTTCACTTGAAGCCCTTCTCTGTGCCCCCCCTCCAACGGAGGTGCCAAGGGGAGCAGCAAGAGAGGAGGCCTTGCCAGTGGTAGCCCCTGGTTGTGTAGTGCTCTCCCTCATCAGGCTTGCCCACCGCTGATGTTATTTAGCTTTGAATTGCCAGGCAAATATCATTTTTTCTCTGGGCTTCTGATTCTTTGAATGGATGCAATCTTTATCGATTCCTTTTATTTATTTATTTTAAGAAATAAATATCCCACTTTCCACATCATAGGTCTCAGGTTGTCTTTACAATAAAAATGTACCATATAACAATTTAAAACATCACTTTAACTTCCAAAATTTAAAACCTCAAGAATTTTAACATATCTCTCTCAGAAAAGAAAAAACAACCACCAGCAGTGAGCGACAGCACAACAGCACTTTCTCACCTCCATTGGGCCAGCCCTCAATTAAATATAGTGTGACCACCTCAAGGTACACCAGTTACACAAATTATACGATTTACCTCAGATTATCTAGTGGGGGACATGTATGAGGTAAAAAAGATTATGAGTCTCAGGCAGGAGTTGCTCAAACAAACAAGAAAAGTTTTATTAAACAAAGGAAGTTTATGACACAAAGTGGGTCAGGAAATGAGTTCTTTCAGGTAGAAATTAACTTACCGTATTTACTTAACTATAAGATGTCTCAGGTTTAAACATAACACTTAGGCACAACCCTTCTTAAACTTCAGTTACTAAACACCAGCTGGTTCACTTCAGGTAGATGAAATACCTTCAGGGTTTCAGAAGAGATGTCAAAATGTTCAAATCAGTTTCTGTCACTTAGATAATACAGTGACCGCTCCCCACAACCAACTGGGGAGGAGGCCCTTTTGCGATGTCGCGCACAGCCACCCATCCCAGTGCGTCTCCCGGTAGTAGGGGCTGGCTTCGCCCTCCCCAGGCTGGATACCTGGAGGTCTCCGCCTTACTTCAGCCAATCGCCCAATCCCACCTGGGGGGCGTCGCCAGAGGATCAGCCAGGTAGGGGAGGGACCACCCACAGAACAGAAGGTGAAGCTTACCTGCGAATCAGTGTCAGTTGGCTCCAGAACTTCTCCCACCCTGCCCTCCCTCAGTTTAAGCCTCCTTTTGCAGGTTAACCTCTTCTCTACAGGTACGCAGGCGCTGTTGAAGGACCGGAAAGGAATTTTCCTGCATTGGCAGGTTTTGCCTTTCTTTAGTAAAACGTCACAACTTTGGTGGTTTCAGGCCTTGGGCGGAATCCTTTAGTCTAGCTTCCTAAATGGGGGGCCGGTTTTTATTTCAGCAATAACAGTACAAGTTAAATGAAGATCCTTTTAATAATCCAATAACCAGTCTACTAAAACAGACCATGTATTCCAGCAACAGACCTTGAATCTAAAAATGACATTAATGCATATTCAAGCAGAATCTCTCTCTGCACAGCTGAAGCAAAATCCCAGGGGGTTCCAGGGGGTGCTTCTTTGTGGACCTGTAGTCTAACAACTTCTTTATATTTATTGTGTGCCAATGATATTCCATGTGTGATATTGAAGTGACATGGGGCCTTCCCCAGTGGCGGAGGAAGGGGGCAGCCCCCCCCCCGGGTGCCATCTCTGAGGAGGTGTGACAAGAAAGGCACACCTCAGGGGACTCCCCTGCCACCCCGGGCGTGCACCGTCATTTGTGTGCTGCAGACGCGTGTGGAGGATCCTCTGCTCGCGGCTGCACCCTCCTCCGCCGTCCGTAACAGCGCTCGAGCAGTGCCATCGCAAGACCAGTGGCGCATGTGCGGGCGCGCTCAAGCCGCCCGATACAGTGTAACCCTAACACTCCACACTGCTGCTGAACTGCGGATGGCGAAGGAGTCCCACTGAACTCCGCTGCAGCTGCAGCCAGAGCGATCCCGCTGCATACATACGATGCGCTACACGTGGTACGTACGTGCCGATGCGCATCGCCATATGGGCCGTTTGCCCTGCCCCGCCTACCCTGGGTGCTAGTTCTTGTCTCTTCGCCCTGGCTTCGCCTCAGTAGGATTGGTATCTCTGCTGCCTCCAGCAACCAGACCTCAGTGCTCCTTAAACGTCATGAAAACGCCTTGCAGGCAATGAATCATGATGTGATCCCAAGCAGAATCCATCCTACCAGATTTCTGAACTCAGATTGCAATCTTTGGGTTTGGAGGGGCCCATGGGTATCTTTGAGAACGCAGATGGGACTGGAAGGGACCTTTGGGTAGGGGAAGGATTCAGCAACAGAGAAGCTAGAGCTCCCTGCAACATTTCTTTTGTAAGTAGTTTATATAACTTATATTAGTTACATCCATCCCGACCTCCAGATCTCTTTCAGAATGCAGTCCTAGACAAACTGAATGTTTCTTGAATAGCAAGGTGTACGGCTGCATATAGTCACCAGGAGACAATGCCTATCTCAATGCTTTGTGATAATTTATTTCATAAAGTGGTTTTGCATTGTGTGGAAATGTATCTTTTTTTGCCTATCAGTGACTCTGCTGTCAGGCTGAGTCCTCTTGAGCTCTTGAGCTCTAGAGTTATGGCACCAGAAAAGGGAGTGAGGAATAGCCACTTCTTTAGTGTCACGCATAATCTTATAAACTTCTATTATGCCCCTCTTTTTATATTCCTGAATCAAAAACACCCAAATGGTGGAGTTTAGTGGCTGATCAGACTACCAGCCCTCCTTGTGCAGAGTGAGGAAGAGACCCAAGAACACAGGATGTAGCCTACCTTGATTTTCAGCAAGGCATTTGACAAGGTGCCCCATGATATTCTTGTAAAGAAGCTGGTAAAATGCGGTCTTGACTATGCTACCACTCAGTGGATTTGTAACTGGCTGACTGACCGAACCCAAAGGGTGCTCATCAATGGTTCCTCTTCATCCTGGAGAAGAGTGACTAGTGGGGTGCCACAGGGTTCTGTCTTGGGCCCGGTCTTATTCAACATCTTTATCAACGACTTGGATGATGGACTCAAGGGCATCCTGATCAAATTTGCAGATGACACCAAACTGGGAGGGGTGGCTAACACCCCAGAGGACAGGATCACACTTCAAAACGACCTTGACAGATTAGAGAACTGGGCCAAAACAAACAAGATGAATTTTAACAGGGAGAAATGTAAAGTATTGCACTTGGGCAAAAAAAATGAGAGGCACAAATACAAGATGGGTGACACCTGGCTTGAGAGCAGTACATGTGAAAAGGATCTAGGAGTCTTGGTTGACCACAAACTTGACATGAGCCAACAGTGTGACGCGGCAGCTAAAAAAGCCAATGCAATTCTGGGCTGCATCAATAGGAGTATAGCATCTAGATCAAGGGAAGTAATAGTGCCACTGTATTCTGCTCTGGTCAGACCTCACCTGGAGTACTGTGTCCAGTTCTGGGCACCACAGTTCAAGAAGGACACTGACAAACTGGAACGTGTCCAGAGGAGGGCAACCAAAATGGTCAAAGGCCTGGAAACGATGCC